CCCCAAAACCCCAAAACCCCAAAACCCCATTAATTTCAATAAAAATTGAGGAAATTAGAATGAATTATTACAACTGCTTACAAGACTACACGAACCGCATTACTACCTTGGGACCATCGCTCATTTTTGATGATCTCCGTTTATTTGCTAGACTACTGAAATTGATCATTGAGAATCTCTATAAAATGAATATCCTGACTTACGCTGCTCCTTCTGCTACCCTTTAAGCTCTTCTTGGATATGGACCTATACATTACTCTTCTAGGGTCACCTTGAATTCCTTGAATCCCTCTGATTAATTGTCGGTCTCGACTTATTTTCTTCAGAATTTGAGTTGTGATTATGAGTTGCTAAAATAAATATAAGAAAGATTTCATAGAAAAGTACAAGATTTGTGCCTAAGAAATGTTGACTCCATTACTCTAAATTTAGATTTCTAATGCAAAATGGAATAGAAGACTAGATATTTCATCTCTCTAGGGTCGGATTTGGGCACCTGATTAATCTCTTCCACTTGTAAAATGTATTATGAGTTATCTGATTAGAGTCAGGAATCTCTAATTTAGTCCGTATATATGCAATTAATAATATAGTTATCTCCTGATTCTATTAAAATTGGCATACTATCAGGAATTCTTTAGGCTTACTTTTAGATATGAAATCTTCAAATTTCCTACACTGGCTCATTTTGGCCTGTTCTTTCAGTATATTATTATAAGACCCTAAATAAATGACCCAAGGTGATTACGAGTCAACTTTGTGTGAGTCTGTTTAACAAGATACTGCCTCTTCCTTTCCTTATGTGTCTTCTTCAAATCCTTCACTGGTCTTGGTATATTCTTAAAACTTTTGAGACTTTTGTTAAAAACTGAAGATGAGTTGCGGCCTGAAGGTAATTTTTGGGACATTACTTAGAGTCATCACCTCATTTCTGCTCTTCATCACGTTCTGAGCAAGCATAGATTCCATAGTACGTCTTGAGAGCCTGGGAGCAGGCTTCAAAAACTCCTTGACTATCCCTTTAGCCTGACTATTAGGGGGGATTCCTCGGACTACTTTACAGGAGTTCTGAAGACTTTCTAATATTCATGCATTTGTCTTACCATCTTCTCCAATCTGTGAATAAATTTCTTTCTCAGTTATTTGCTTTAAGACAACTTTTCTAGAAAACCTCCTGTCGACCGAGAGCAACTTAAAGTTGAAACCTGATTTAGGTTGCTTCTGGGTTCTAATTTTTACTTTTGTAGTACGTCTAGAAGATTTATCCTCCTGCTTGAGATTAGAGGACTTTTCGCCATGCTTAGCTTGTTTAAAATGAGTATAAGCTTCCAGTGCGATTCTAGAAATTAACATCTTGGGTACGCAAGTAATTTATTTTATTGAAACATTTTCTTGACTCTTTTATAATGCAAGTATTTCCTAGAAATAATGAGCTAATCGTACTCAAAAGTGTTCTTGTTATATTCATCAATAATGTACTTCCTGTGAGGATCTCCAGAGATGATCTTTTCAACCTGGAACGAAATATGTTTCACTCGGCTCTTATAGTTCTTATTTCTCAGGCCTGAAGCACTTTTGCTTTACCTTTAGCTCTAGAAAATATATTTTAGGTTTACTCTGGTTTAGAAGTTTATTAAGAACCTGGTGCTTGGAGTTCCCTCTCTTTTTAGCCTTCTCAGTAATCTCTCTGAAACCTATTTTACTAGAACTTTGGGAGATTTTTGGAATTTGGTGTTTTTGATCACCTATTTCTGGAACAATATGGGTCGTTGAGGTTCTCTTTGCAGAATCCTCTTTCATCATTTTTGCGTATAGGCGGTTATACTTTGGATCAGACATTTCATGAAACTTGTACTTGCTTAGCTAAAGAGAAGTGAATTCCCATACCTCCATCTGTGTCTCAGTGCGTTTTAGGCTCATTGTATGTGAATCGCTCTGAGTTTTAGCTCTATTTGTTATCATGAATGATTTTACAACTTAAATCTTAGATGTTGCAGGATTCATACGCATAATGATCAAGTTTTCTAATTGGTTTCTACCTAAATATCAATAATTTACAAACAAATTGAGGACATACTAAAGAGGCAGAAGTGGGCTTACTCAATTTGCTTTTGCTCTTGACTGTATCTTCTGCTTTGGCCCATGCTTTAGGAAATACAAGAGCAAGATCTAAAGGAGCCTTCTCTGAAGTTTTCTCATAAGCCATTTTTGAATCTAAAATCCTTTTCTGTGAATTTGAGCAATATGAGTCTTCTAACTTAGAGTTCTCCTCTTTAATAACCGATATGGAATCGTGTTGTGACGATTGAGATGGTATATTGCTTAGCTTTGGAGGTAATTCTAAAATAATGTCAAATTAGGTCCAAAGCTCTCTTCTTGCCCACTCTTACTTCAGCCAGCATGCACCTTTGGTAGCCAACCAGTTTGGTTTAGTATCAGTAAAGAAACTTAAAAAACTTGACTGAATAAAAATAAGATCTTAGGGTAAGCTAACTTGGCCAGCTAACAACTACTACTGGAAATGAGTTTTTACCAGGAAGAAAAATTTGCATTTAAGTTTTTTTTATGTATGATGCAGATAATTTTGGGTTTTATTGAGGAGGTTAAGAGAAGTAAGGGTATTTTTATAAGGGTTCATATTTTTAGGGTTTTAATACCTATTGAGGCCCAGATTTGCTATTTGTACTTATAAAATACTTAAATAAGTGATCAAATCCTTCAACCAGGGGTACCATTTATTCACATACCATCCAACTATCCAGGAATAAATCCCCACATTTAAACACAAAATGCCAAATCTTCACAACCCTACTACTAAAAATTAATTTACTCTACTTAAACTACAATTCCAAAATACGCATCTACCACCCCTTCCTCTATTTCTGCCCCTAAAATCCCTCCCAACTCTAACTCATAACCTCCCAGTCAAAAATTCTCAACCACCAGAGCACTAACAAGCTTCCTTACTCTCTTTCGGCTTGCTCCAAAACAGAGGGAGAACAGAAGACTTTGAAGTCTCGTTTAGTCTCTCTCCAAGTGATTCAGTGTTCATATCTCTTATTCTTAATTAAAATAATAAATGTTTGGGGTTTTGGGGTTTTGGGGTTTTGGGGTTTTGGGG